AAATTCCAATGATCGCTTCATCAATCTACTCCTACTGCTATAACGCTGCAACAGTGTCGGAAGCGGCAAGCGGCATTTTGAAATTTCAAGCTAAGCACTTTGTAGCATTGCTTTTACTGCTTGCAGGTATACGATACGCAAGGAGCGCTACTGTATTTCTAACTATTAATCACAATTTTATACTCATGATTATATCATCGATTTTGATCATATTCGAGATTCCGTAATCATAGTTGTGAATACAAGTTGGAATAATCAGCCTATAGGATGAATTTGATGCAATTATGGTTTAAATTGAAATTTCTGAAACTCTTAGCACCTTTCCTTTAAGCCATTTATTTTTCTTGAAATTACTTCTAATTTAAATTGTTCCCTGTTTTTGCTATTCTGAAAGCGCATAAACAATTTTCTGTGATATGAAATATCATTTCTCGATGTTCTCATTTACTTTTTGCACTGTGAGTGTTTCTGGATTTCTGTTATTTATCAGTTTTCTCTGTCTTCTTTTCTTTTTTGGTCTTACGGATTTTCGGTTTGCGTAAACAAACTAGATTGGAGTGTAGCTTTGAGTTTATCATTATTTCTTTTAACATACTTGAATAAAATTTCTGAATTCACTTGTTACACATGAAATAAAATTCACGCTATGAACTTCAATAAAGATATTTCATGCAAAGATTTTATGTGTTATTAATATTCTGAAATGTTTCTAAAATTATTTATGCATCAAATTATATTCATTAAGTTAAAATATTAAAAGTATGTAAGATCTAGGTATAAATCGCAAACAAAGAAAAGCTAATATTCTGGAAGAAAATTGGAAAGGCATTCCTGATTCGCATTCAGAGCTTAAATGGTGACGTACTTTTCTCTTTTTTTAATGCGAAGAATAGTCCATATGAGACCAAGTATGATACGTTCATTAATTCACTTTTTTACATTTGTTATGTATTCTGCAATATCTAATGAATTCATTTTAGATATTTTATGACCGGGCACGTTCAGCTCCGAGGTTTTCGCGTATCAGCTGATCATACTGCTGTTCCAAAGGGCATGATGAAAAGTCCAGAAGAAGACAATTCTCTATTTGAGGGTCGTTTTAGAGCAACACGTGTGGTCAGTTAATTTTTTTATTCATCGTGTTTCATCTTCATAAAATCAAATAGGAGTTTTGATGTAGATGGAATTAATGATGGTTGTGCTTGCCTTTTCATTCTCCAATATTTTTTGCAGTTTTTCTGAATTTCCCAATAACCAGATCCTTGGTAAATCTACATACTTAATCATTTACTTAATCATTCAGATTAATCATTCAATTAAGTTAGAACTTAATCATTCAATTTAGCTGTATGCATGACTCAGCATGAATTGATATCGTTCGACTTTGTCTACCCAATCTAATTGTCAGTGTCTAAGGCGTACTTTTTTAAAGAGCACCTTAATAGTTGTTGTTCTAGGATTTTTTATGTTTTCAAATTTTACATGGAATTTCAAATTGTAAAAATATCAAACAAGATAAATACTATGTATTTTTGATGCTGATGTATAATAAAGTTCTACTTCTTGTTCACAGTGGAATGGTATGATAAGACGCTTTCGAAGTGGAATGCCTGTAAAACGACATCGACGTCAATTGCGCGTCTTCGACGGTTGTTTTGCAGGTCGTGAGGCAGTAGACTTTATGATGAATGAGCTACCAAAGTTTATCCATGATGGTCGGGAAATAACCAGGTGAGCTATTGTCATCACTTTTTCAATAAGATGTAATATTTAATTCTGAGATAATGGTCGTTATAAGAAATTCTATGACAATTTTTTTTCAATATCAGTTATGTTTGATAATGAGCAAGCATTTTAAGGCACCACGTTTAAGACATGAAAAGTTCCGTCCAACAGAGAAGTTGTAGCTGAGAAAATTCATATAAATATCCATTTTTCAGATCCAATTGTTCAAAACTTTTGGGTACATACATGAATATGGGATTATTTTGTACTGTGCGTGGAAAATACGACGATAACGAAGCATTTAAAGAAAGCGAATTGTATCGGTAATTTTCCCACTTTAAATTCAGATAAAATTGCCTCAAAAAGCTCTTTTTTTAACCAAAATAACTGAATTTTTTTAGGTTTTCAAATAACTCACCTGAACTGCTGGCTGCAACACCAATTTTGGCCCGCCGCGCCGCTTCATTCAATGAAAGATGTAGTTTCAGACAGAATCGGTCTAGAGATAGAGATTTTGGATTTACTGCTCCACAGAGGTAAGGAGTTTTTCTAAAAAATCAAAAATGGACTCTAGTATTTTCTGAAGTTTTGAAATAGAATTGGCTGAATCCTCTTTAAAAATGAATTGGTATTGGTACTGAAGAGAACAGTTGCTGAATAGTTGATTTAATAATTCAGAAAAGTTTTTTTTAGAATGCACAATGCTGGCTGGAGAAATCGAGATGACGATCCGACGGTACCAACGCGATTACCTATTCCTGCAATGCAGTCGAATGCTCCGCTTTCTCGTCGTTTATCAGCATCCCATGGGAATCTACCTTCTATGTTTAACTCGAGAGCAAGTCTTTTCTAAATGTTTTAACTTTATTTAATTCAAAATCTTCCGTTCAATTGCTGAGTTTGATTTTTTCACAATTTAAGGTTTTTTCAGAATCTGAACGATGAATTATGCAGAAAGTCAACTGCTGGAGTTGTTCTAGAGGAAACCATCTCTCAGGAAAAAATAAGCGAAGTGAATGTGGAGAATAATCAAGATGGAGAAGGAACATCAAAGCAGATTAATGCATTAGACGAGATGATCGTTAAATTAGCCGAAGTAAATAGTAATTCAGCCGACTCTTCAGGAATGCAAAACCTCCGACATTTCGGGAAAATTATTCAGGTAATTGTAAAGTTATTTTTATTTCTTTTTCACCATTCATTTATAAGTGTGGCCATCTTTTGGATATGCAGTGATCAAAATGAATTAAATAATTTGTAGACCCGAACTCCAGAAAACGGTCAGCCTTCTGGATCTCCAAGAGCAGTCGTCAATGAAGAGCACAGTGGTGCCCACCTGTTCCTTGATACCAGCGAAATATACAAAAATGTTTTACTAAATCGGTAAGTCAAACTCAAATAATATTTCAAAAAGTGGCTCATGAAAGTTCCCGTTGATTCCAGATTGCGATCATTGATACAGGTGGATTCGTTGAAGGGGATTCTCGATTATGATTTCAGTGGTGCAGATGTCCGCTGGAATTGCGAACGGGTCGGAACGAAAGGAATAGTTCGAGTTTATCCTGAGAATGGTATTGTTATATTTTAAGAACGCAATTAGTGAAATATTCTCTTTTTGAATGACAACTACTGTAGTGAATATGTTGTGCACGAAGAGTTTGCTTACTAAAAAAGTTTTCCTATTACTTAAAATTCACACGATAACTTAATGGACAGCAAATTCCCTGGTGCTTTCAAATAATGAGAGAATAATTTATGATTTTTTTCATTTATGTCAAATAATAATCAAAACTTCAAATTATCAATCAAAACCTATGATTTTTTTGTTCTTTCACAGATTATCTAACAAATTATGTAATAACAATGATGCGTTATCTGTCACGATGGCCATTCGATACAAAATTTGCGGAATCCACACATGTACCATACGAAGGATTTGAATTGAATGTTTTCAAAAGTGTTTGTGAACAATTTGATAAAGATTGTCCCATGCTTCCGAATTCTGTTGCATCATCGGTTCTACATATTATACAACTATTTCGTCAAAGAAGTTTTCAGCAACGAAATTCAAGTGATTTTTTTTCATCTTCAGGAACAAAGTTTTTTTCATCCTTATTTAACGCAACTTTCGATGGAAATACTTAGGTGTGATAGAAATGGTTTTATTTTTGATTTTGTTGCACTCAATTACACAAATATGCAAGATTTTATTTTTAAATCCGGAATTTTCTTTTTAGCAGAATTGCGTAAGGAAACAGTTTTTTGCGCAGACAATTCTCCATTTACGCGTTATGTGCAAAAGACAAGTAATTCTCAGGTACAATATGCTTTTTTGTACTAGCTTAGCGCATTGCGATGACCAGGCAAAAAGATGGCAAAATGATTAAAATAATTTTTATAGAATCACAGTAAACTAGATGGAAAAGATGAAAGTTCAAATTTGCGCACAACAGTATCGCCTGGCAAGGGATTTATTAGCGAGGAACATGTTGTGTCACCACCAAACACTATACGCTCTTCTGTATCTACGCTGTCAGCAGATAGTGAAACGTTTTGTAAGTTGTGAATTAATGTCGGCTAGTACTGCTGGCGTTTGTGATGGTGTCTTCATATGACAGCAATGCTGTAACAGTACCCAGAGATGAGATACAAAAAATTCATTAAGGATACCATTTTATTTCTTGAGATGACAAAGTGGTAATCTGAGTCAGACTGCTTAAATTCATTCAGTGTGAATGGTATTTAATAGTTACAATCTATTTTTCCAGTTTCGTATCTTTTTCAGCGTACAGAATGGCCTATGAAGCAATTTTAACACGACTCCCAGGTTTGCAGCGAAGTCCCGAGCTTATGCAGCGTATCGAGGAACTGGCCAAAACAAACGCGCTTGTCTCGCGTGCAAGCATTCCCAGTGTACAATCATGCGCATTACTTGCCGGTTGATATTCTAATCTTGTTTTCGTTAATGAATTCAAATATATTGAAATGAATCCAAAATCTGTCAGACTTCGATAGTCTTCAAATTCAAGCACATATTTGCTTGAATTATTTTACTTCATTTTATGTCCTTCCATATTCAGTTCCCCTAGAGTATCCATTTGTAAAATATGTTTGAATTTTTCCAAGGGATTTATATGAAGATCAAACAAACTGATCACATTTTTGCAGGAATTGATAGTGAAAATGAGAGATTGTTGAAAGAAGCAGTATCATTACTAATGCTAACATTGGAGCCACATGTTCGTCGTCGACTACACTATTTGTTACGTTTTATGCAACGTGTCAGCCGAAATTACTGCTTGCGAATGGACAAACGTCGTGATAATCGTTCAATTGTGAGAGATTATAATTCTGAAGCTTAGATTTTTAAAAGTTTCAGAAAATTTTCGGAAAATTCAATTTATTTATTCAAGAAGTAGACATGCTTGCAATACCTAAGGACACATGATTTGGTCACTTAATAAATTTCTTAGTTGCTCTACGTGCAGAAATACATCTGCATTCCAATGCGAATGAATATACCATGAGAGTGGAAAAATTGTGCTCGGAAACTTTTTTTCGATATTCTTCATCAACTTACTTGGCATTGCCAAAGAGAATTAGAAAATGAAGTTTGCTGAATTAAACTATGAAATTTGGTGGTTTTTAAAACAAAATACCTCAAAGCCACAAGTGTTTCTTGAGCTTGTTACGTTTTTTTTTTTCTTCCAGTTCGAAGTTGGAAAATTCAATATAAAACGAATTGTTTTCAGCATATTACTTTACAGGTTCTCGAAGCTTTATCGGGCAAAATATTACATTCGTCTCAGACTATAAACGCATCAGAATGCCATCAATTGGTCATATTTTTAATGGATAATGAATGTGATACTTTTTCCATTCCGGAAGCGTTCGTTTCAGAGGTCAAACATCAGTTATCGCTACCACACGAGGTGAATTTTAATTCCAGGTTTTCACGAAAAGGGATCCCAAATTTCCAATATAACTTTTATTTTGAATGCCGCATAAAACTTAAAAATGTTTCAAAGACACTTTATGAGATTCTTAATATTTCACTAAAATTGGCTTTTATTAAAATTCATTGCAAATTCTTGTCATAACCTGACTTCTAGAAATTTGAAAAGACGTTCGCAGTATTTTCAAAGAAATTTCAGGTTTTAAAGAAATCACCAACTGAACAACAGAATACTACTGATAAATCATCAAGTGCAGAACGCTTGAAACAACACTTCTGTGAACCAATAAAAGTAGAAGAATATGAATCGCAAAAGAAAGATGTTGATGGTCATTTGCTTTCTCTCTTAGATGACATACTGAGTGATGAAAATCTTTCAGTCGCAGAGCGGAGGCAGCGGCTCAAAAAGGTTAATGCGGTGTATAACTGATTTCAGAGTGAAAATTTACTTTCCTTTTGTGTCCTTTTTTTTCATTAAATCCCTGTTTTTGCAGTTCAGAAAGACTTACCCGAAGATCTACGCACAGAAATTCCCATCTCCTGATTTACCGAAGACTCGATTCATCGACCGAATTAGAAATTTTCACTTCTAATTCGAAGTGTACCAAGCATTTAATTTACATGGCAAGAAACGGGCCGAGAAGTCAATCATTACAAAACGATCAGAGAAATAGACTAAGTATAGCTTGCTTACAACATTATGATACTTAGAAATAATGAATTACAGCTATTTCTTCACTGTTTGAATCAAATACTACAAGTAGAAATGTAAGATTGTTTCACATGCCTGTGTGTGACTTAAATTAAGCACTTCAATTCAAATATTTCTACATTTTAACATTATTTTGTTTATTGACTCTGTGAACATGAATGATGTGTGAATGAACTCAATTATGCATCATTCATTTTGATATAGCAAGCTATTTTGGAAAATAGTCTGAGTAAAAACTACTCAATATCCCAACATAAAATTAAATGAAGTGCTTCCCCTCCTTTCTCGATTGCTACATAGCGCAAAAGAATTCTGCTCTTAAAATTTATAAATCTCCAAAGAAAATATGAAAAAGTTTAGAACTTTAAACAACGATAAAAATTAAAAAAATTTGAGAACATGGAACAATAAAGTGGGGTGAATTAACTTGAAGCAACTGGAATAACTGGTAGTTCTTTTAATTTCCGGTTCACCTGCAATAAAATTTCCAAATAAATTGGAAATGAAAAACTTTGCAAGATAAGGGCTTTAATCGATTTCTCATTTTCAAAAATACAAAGCATCATTTACCTCTTGTAACTTCTGTATTTGCTTGATGAAATATTCTCCAATTCGGCGGGCTACTTTTGTGTCCGCAATAATGATCATATCCTGAAGTATAAAGGAGCTGAAAAAAAAACTATCTAGATGATAAAATCGCTAACTTATTTCGAAGCTCGACTGAACAAATAAGGATATGAGAAAACAAGGCTGTACCTTATCAACATAGAAATCAAGATCTGTTGTTGAGTCATCGATTTCACATCGATCGATACATTCCTTACCCAACTCATTGACGATCATTTTGAAACTCAGTAATTTTCCAACAAATGAATCATAATCGGCATCTGCAATTAACTAACAATTCTGAATAACTCTGTTTTGCTAATGCAAGCGCATACATAAAGTTTTTTTTTCATCCAAATTCAATTAATGGTGCAGTGTCCTAAACATGAAAATGAAGACAAATGAACCACATGATGGAAAATGATAGAAACTTACCGCTAACATCCATGAAGCTGGCAAGCTTTCTCGTTGGTAAAGTTGTATATAATTTTAAATAGCCTCGTAAGATTGGCAGCATAATTTGTGATTCAATTTCTTCTAGAAAAGCATTACACTGACGGAGCAATGGTTCCTAAAAATATGAAAGAAGACTGAAAACACCACAAAATATTTATTTTCTTTACTATAACTTTATACCTAAGCCATTAATGAGTTAAACGTAAAGGAACAATTACTAAATTTACCAATCAATCACTGAAAATCAACCTTTGCCTGATTTGGGCCTTCATAAACTACCGTGGTTGGAGACAAGAACTTTGGGCACCCTTGCTGGAAAGCAAGACGGAACTCATCAATGTTACTGAAAAGGAAAATTATGAATTCATTACACTTTAAAATATTACACGCTATGTGAATTTGATTGACTGTTGTAGTGTAAAAAATCAATTTTTCCATTTCTTAATTGTAAATGTAACATTTCTTGAGAAAAACAAAATTTAAATATAGATTCAATGATTTCTGCTAGCAATAGAAAGTACTTTACAGAGACGATTTTGAAAATCGATATGAAATATAAATTCAAATTCTCGAACTCTAATTTTTTTTATCTAACTGACCCATTACTCATATGATTCATACGTTCACCAATCCTTTCATACAACTGCGACTGAATGGAATCATCAATACGCTGAGGTTGTAGTGTCAAACAAATAGCCAGTAAATGATACAATTGTTCGTTTGTTTTTCCAATCTGTAAAGCTCTGAATCATAAAACTATAAATGGAAATTTTCTCCTAAAAATTCTTGAAGAATTTATGAAATTTAGAAAAAACCATTGTAAATTAAAGAGTCAATATCGCTTTTACAATGTTCTTTGCTTTTATTGAATATAAAAACTACGAGGAGAGAAGTAAGTATAACATTTAGATGAATCAACTTAAGCAGACGTTCAACGTAGTGAGCTACGTCATAATTACTTTTCATAAATGCTAGACACTTACTACATCATACTGAAAGTTCTTCTTTTGTTGCTGATTTTGCTGTTGAATACTTTTAGTTCGTTGTATGTAAAGCAAGCAATTTACGAATATCTTCGTAGCTTCACCATAATTTCTCATCATCATATGAGAGAAGCCAACAAAATAGTGAAATGTAACTAGACATGAAGGAACTGTGTTGTACAAGCCCTGAAAAAAAATCAAATCATTAGAATGAAATCGACAATTGGCGCAGTGTGGAAACTCAAGCAGAGATTTGAAAAACATGAATTCTCTGATAAATTTTAAATTTGATTTAGCTACACGAGTCCAATCTATTCAACTTTATTTCCGAGTATAATAACTACAAACCGTATTAAACTGCATATCAGAACATAAATCATAAACATGAAATGAAGCCTAATAGTTTAACTGCTTCATTCTGTATCAAAGCAGTAGGGATAAAAGTAATGGAATGACTGAGGCAAATTAAGATCAGACACTCTTTCCACACTCTCAGACAGACATGTGAATCGAACCGGCGAAATAGTATTCAAAATTGAGTTTGACAAAATATCCAGCTAAAATGTAACAAAATCATCTCATCAGACAAAAAAGAAAAAATAAATTAAAGATATTTGCTTTGTAATACCTTTGGATCAAGCTCAAGATTTTCAACAGTTTTCAGCGCTTGATGGTAATCTCCGAGCAACACATGTGTACGAAGCAGTCCAATTAAGGAGAAGTAACCAAGCTTAAAATATAAAGCAGAACGGCCAAAATCATCTGCGACATCATCTGGATTTCCTGAACAATTTCCGCAATGAATTAAATTTCTCATAGTATCGATAAATACGCAAGATCAAATTCCACTAAACTAAGCAATATGATTCATTCGAATTATATGTTCATTGCAATCATTTTGATTAAAATTATTTACTTCCTTCCCGTATAGCCAGCAACTGCTCGTCGATCTGCGATTTTGCCAGCAAAGAATATAGAATATTTAATACCGGATAAATGTTCCAGGCCTACAATGTAATCGGAAATTAAATTAGCTTAATATAATAAGCTCTGTTAACTATCCGAACATAAAAAATATATACTCTAAGCATAAAAAAGCATAAAAAATATACACTCTGGTTCTGCTCAATCGAAAGAAGGTCTTCATATTCTTCCGGACTTCTTTTTCCAGGATTTGCTTTGTATAGACAGAAGGCTTGAAACTGAAAAATTAGAAACATAAACAATGATTTTAATAGTTTTGACAATAGATGTGTCGCCGTCATATTTGAAGGATTACTAATTATTTCGGTTGAGTACAAAAACATATACACTATGGTTCTGCTCAACTGAAAGGTCTTCAAAAGTAATCAGTTATAACTTGAATTAAAATCAATTTTGACCTAAATAACGAGCATTTGGCGTCAGTACAAAAAGGGTTCAGGACTAGATGTTTAAAACAAGCAATTACTAGCAAATGAGTAAGAATAGACAACAATTGAGCAAAATAAGTAAATAATTATTACCTGGTAAACAAATTCGTCAATAATATCCCAAAGCCAAACATTTGGTAACTGAAGTGACAATGGTTGCTTCTCAGGTGTCAACACTTCGCAAAACAATTCCTGCAATAAAACACTTCATGCTTGGTTAAAACCAAAATTTTTTCTGAACTGTGCATGCAGTATCTTCTGCAATTAATCTGGTAATTTTTATGTGAATCAAAATGATGAATCAACATGTACGTATGCAGTACCTTCTGCAACTAACCTGATAGTTTTGATATGAATCAAAACGATGAGCCAAAGATGGACCGCGTTGCATTCGAGTGTACACGTGACGAAAATATAACTCCTTGTAAAGAATAATGAAGAGTCGACTATCTGAAAATTGCATGGTAGCTCAAAACAGAAAGTTTTTTCATTCTTCGTAATGCAAAACATGCAAAACTATTCCGACGCAAACATTCCAGATTTTAATTTATATTTATTTGCAAATATTGCCTACAGGATTTTCGGTTTTTGAATGATTGCAAAAACGAATTTTCACATCGAAATTTTTGGAATTCTTGAATCTGAAATATTTTCCATTCCAAAAAGAGAGCAACAACGAACCCGAGCCAACGATATTTTCCACCGCTTCCTCGTTTGGCCAGAGACGTTGCTGGAAATAACGCTCAGTAAGGTCTGGAAAACCGTGTTCGTAAAGATTATGTATCTCGACAACATTTTCTTCATCAATCATTCGTTTGAAATAAATCAAATACTGTGCAACATCATCCGGTACCATCTCATCATTCAAAGTATCTAAAAATTTATAGCAGTTAAGCATCGTATAACATTCACACGACAATTAATAACATCCACAATATCGGTTTATCCATGTATGCAAAAAAGGTCATATACAGCCATTTTATCGATTATGTGACACAACCCTCTAAATAAGCTAGTCATCAAATGATTCTATACACTTTAATCTCGGAAAAAGCTGCAGAAGATCTAAACCCTGAATTTCTATTTCCGCTTTTAGGATATCTTACGTTTAATTATCCACTGTGTTGAGATAATATGCTCAGATCGGAATTCGCACCAGAAAATAACCTTTACCTCCCACTAACACTTATTGGGTAAGATATCATTATATCATTTTTCGCTACTTTCTAAAGTCATTTTAATTCTAGAGATCGAAATATCTTTCTCTAATGTAGAAATTTCATACGCTTCACTAACATTAATTTTAATCTATCACCTCACTTATAACAATATTCTTTTTACTTATTTCCTCCTCACCTTTTTATTATTGCATTATAACTGTATGAATTGGCCTGTAATCACACCACAAACTTCTAGCAGTTATATTAAACAAACCTCGTCGCACATGTTCCCTTTCATAGGCAAGATCACGCTCTGGATCGCCTGTATGCCCACCATCGAATGAATCTCGCACCATCTATAAGGTAAATGTTTCAATCACTCCATTTCATCAAAATAAATGAGTTTAGCTAAAACATTAAGCACACGATGTAATATCGGAAAGCAAAATTTGTCCATTTCATGTAATCTAACTGACAGTAATGGAGTATTCAATTTAATTAATACTGTATAACACGCGCTACATCTTAAAACCTCATGATTTTTATAGATTATATCAAATAAAATACAAAATCAACTTTAGGAAAAAGAACCATTCAAAAAATATTTCACAACTCTTTCGAAAAAAACCCTTTTATTATTACACGATAGCTGTTAGAACAAAAGGCAGCTGCTTTCCATTAACCGGTAGAGCTTGTTCGCGCTTACCATTGTAACAAATAGAACTATGCAACAATGACAAGACCGCTCAATTGACCGGAAATAAATAGTAGTCATCAAATATTAATATATACTGAACGAATGCAGAAAGGAAGTATTAGTGATACTGAATTAAAATGATATAAATGAAACAATCTTCATTAAAAAATTGTTAATATCAAATAATTTAACATATCACAAAACAGATACAAATGATAGTTTTACCACAATTTCATCCATAAAATGTCCACTTTACAAAGGTAGATAGAACAATTGTAACATTATCCTTCATTCAGCAGAAAATAACTAACGTACTTTATTACTATCTCTCAATAAATAATAGTAGAATCCTAATCTATCATACTCTATTCTCATCTTCTGATAAAATAAAATGTAATTCTACTTTATAATGTCAATGTAACATTCAATAAGTACCCTTCGAGACTTCGTTTTGACTTCTGCAAAAATTGAAATATATTATTCCAAAGTGATTAAATCACTTAAAATATATAAATCCTAACATAGTTGTAAATTTTAATACTTATTTTAATATGCTTGTAACAGCGAGAATAGAACAACTGGACTATTACCTGCAATTTATTAAAATCTTACACAGAGAAATGAAAATTAAACAAGCAAAGAGATGAAAATTAAACAAAACCAATAGTTGCAGCTTCGCTGCAACACAACAATAAATTGATCGCTAACGATAACAAAACTGTGATTGCACTATCATTTATATCGCGCGTACTACTTGTCAGTATTGTTAGGAAATGAAGGAATGAATGACAATGTTACGAATTTTTGTGAAATGAAGACAATTCACTTTCAACATATCTGATCTGTCGCTAAGAATTAATGAGAAGTAGCGCATTCTGATTATGCAACGATTCTCTCAAATCACAGTTGGTTCAGCTGAAAACAATATAAAATTTTCAATCAATTTCAATATTCAATATTTTTCAAGTCTCAAACAATAATTTAAGATTTTTTGATGACATTTAAAACATCTCATTGAATACTTAAGCAACCCTTCTAAATCTTTTTTTAGCAAATTGTTCTTAATATCAATCTAGTCATTAGGAAAAACGATGCGTATATGAAAATCAGAATTATGAGTTATACTTTGAAAAAAAAATGAAGCCTACCAGGGAAAAAAAAAAAAAAACAAACTAAAATTTCGTTTCTAACCAAGTCAGTATCAAATCAGCCATTTCACAAACAATTGAATTACGATAATAAAGCAGTAAATAGTGTTTAAGAAAAGCGAGAAACGTTTAAGAAAAGCGAGATGGTTAAACATCAGAACCGAAAGAACCGATAGTCACATACAGACGAAGTAGTATGTAGGCACTAGCCTTGCACAACCACACCGGAATCTTCTTTTCCATGCATTCGCGGTTTTCCCGTAGTAAACGGTATATAGCGGTATTTTATCATATGCTAAAATTGAACATAAATTGAATTTCTAATTTATTACATGTAGGTCAAAAAAAATAATGTAATAAACAATCGCGCATCGATAATCGATAGAATCACCAGCATTCGGTAACCATTTAATATTGCTAAAAAAATTAGAATCCGAATAAGATAGATAACTTGATTCACTTTGCAGAAAATTCAGAAAATATTCATTTTCCGAACTATTAAACAGTATGCAGAATAAGCGCTTCATTTCAAAGAAAAACTGTACCATGATTTGTCGTTTCATAGTCAGACAAGTTAAAACGATGAAATACATGACGAGTATAGGCCAAAAAACTGGAACATTGAATATTTGAAAAAATGTGCATATAAATGCAATGACTGTTGCTTTAATAGCTGAATACCTGAAAAATGATTCTACTCTTCTGTAAATGGAGCAGTTGTATTTTCCTGCTGTAAGATTATGAAAAATATGTAACAATTAATTGCCGAATATTTCTATACTTAAACTGCAATGCATCTCTAAGGATAGATCATTTGGGAACCCATTGTAGATATATGTGAAGAAAAAATAAACTAAATCATTCATAACTCACCAAAATTTAAATTCCGGTAAACGTCTCATAAATGGACGAAATTCTTCACTTCCCTTAGACGGCAAAACCGGTCCATCTTCATCTTAAATAACTTATTTGAAAACACACCCTAACTTTCTCACTTTTCTAACAGGGGCTATGCTGGATGATTTCAAAGATGAATGCTTGAAAAATGTCCTATTATCAGGAACATATATAAATACAGTAGCATAATAATATCAGAAAAAAGGTTCAAACAAACTGCTATGCTTTATCTAATATCAGTTGACACAATGGTACTGAGTATTTAAACACCGTTCCTAGAAATAAATAAGAAAAATATCTTCTCACCTTCGCTTTCAAAATCAAGTGCTGGATCAATTTTTGGTGTTAAAAATGCAAGAAACAAATTTAAATAATAAATTCCGAGTGCATAAGTAACAATGTAGAAACCCTGAAAGAAGCAAAATGTCAAAGTGTAGAAAGAAATATAAGAATTAGCAGCACTTGATTAGTACTATCCGATCAGATCATCTAGTGAAATCTGATACTTGATAATAGCAAAATTACATGCCTAATGACGAAAAATGCTATTTTTAAACTATTTGAGCTACCATTTTCTGATAAAACCATACATTTCTCTCACACACTAATTCTTTCATCGCTGACAGAATGCAAAAGCCTAATACAGAACAAAAATGTAATACTTGTAATTCAACAATTCGCCAAAGAAAGAGAATAATGAACGCAATCGCGATTCCCCACCGAATCGAACTATACGGTGTCAACTTATCCAAGTAATATTGATATTTCTGGAAAATATAAATCACTCTACAAATTTTTATAACTTTTTCGAATATTCCGAATTTAACATAATTCTTTTAGAGTCCGAAGTAGACAAACAATTATTATGTAGTCCTTAGAAGACTATCTTCAGTGGTTGGAGCAGTAAGATTCCAAAAATATGACGGAATGAAGCAGAACATGGTGTAGAAAAACACTTCAGACAAATTTTGAATCTATTAATTAAATAAAAAAGAAAGCAAAGAACGAACCACAGCTAAACTTGAGAAAAAACGTGAAACAATACTTGGCCGATCACGGAGGTCACTAGAATCCTCCATTAAATCAGCAAATCTGGATATGATCCTGAAACATCAAACACTTTTAATTATCCCAATTGTAAACCATCTATTCATCCATATTCTTCCAACGCTGATGTGCTACGTGGAATAGAGGCATGATATCAGGCATGACATCTTTCGATTTCTTTTCACTTCTCTCGGTTTACTGACCCTTTCTTCGTACCATCCATATTTTTCCAAAAAAGTCTAGAAACTTTTCGAAATCAAAACAGTCCATGTAACATAAAAACGTGACAATGCAGCAAAATATAAATTTTATCTTACATAACCTTTTTAATTCCCATCTGAAAAATTGCCAATTAGCAAATTTTATACATTCAGTTCCAAGAAATCTTGAAACCTCTCTATTCTTTTAATTTTATTATGAGAAAATAAAAGCAGAAAAAAAAAAACACCCGACTATATTTGACTAACATTTGATCACAATACGTGTTTAAGAAGTCCACGTATAAAAAATGAGATGACGTGTCACGATAAAAATATTGAAATATAAATTTCAAAATTAATCACTTTTTTAATTAATTTATGTGACTACTATATTATGACAAAAGAAAAGGAGAAAAAAATAGACAAAAACCAAATCATTGCTGCCTCCACTGATAGAGCCTAAAACTTTGCGTGATCATGTTCTGACTTTTTAGACGTAGCTTGGCTTTCGCATTTTGACTCTCAGCCCAATACGTATATTTCTTGTTACGTGAAAATTGATTTACGGTTAATTTGAAAAATTCTTGGTCATTTCGGATATTTACACTTCCTGCATCCTAAATTTTCATCCTATCAATACGAATACACTAACTAATCCAATCATTCATTTCCTGATATTATCGGACATAAGCCAATTTAGGCTTATTTATTTACTTGTAAAATAAACAATCTCCATTTTACTATTCGTCCGTAAGGGAAAAAATTTCTCTGCAAACTCGAGCAAAAAATGAGTTAAATTCATACAGTTTTATTCGAAAAAAATTTTGTTTTCAATAACTAATGGCCAACATGTTATCGACAGAGAATGATTTCGAGCCAGCATACATTGGATATTTTTTCATTTTATTTTCTGGACTCACTGCTTTTATTATTTCCTTATTTGTATGGATGAAATGGGATACCGATAAGAAGAGCCGAAATGAAAGACAAGGTTATTTAGTTTATTTATTTAAGAATTCTGCTTTGATTGAAAAAGAGTAGAATTAACAATTATTACCGTTTTTTCTTAGTATTAAATTGAAGTTCTTAAAATATTGATTATATCAAACTTCTTTAAGAAAGCAGTTTGATTTATAGTTCAAACATATCATATTTCACTAATTCTCTCTCTTTCTCTCTTCTCTCTTGTACGATTAGCAGATAATTATCAGGCGTGGACTTTCTGTTCGATAGAATTAAATAATGTACCCGAATCATATGTATTCTTGTTGCTTGCTTCCTATTTTAAGTGATTCTAGTGATTTTAAAATTGCATTTTTTTTAGAAAAATTGAAGCTTTTTTGAAGTTGTTCTTGATAAAATTAAAAAAATATATATACTTTTTTCATCTTTTAGATTTGTTAGACTCAGAGCAAAATACGGAAGACGAAAATTTGAAAACAAAAAATAAAGCTAATTCTTTTTCGAGAGATGCAAGAAAACAAGGAAAATGGAAATTTAACAAGGTGCGCTTATATGTTTTGGTTTGCTTATAAGATTAGTCAAAGTGGAAGTTTGATAAATGCTGATTTACTATTGTAAAAAAGTTAATGTAGAAAAAATGTTAAAATCATTTTAGTTAAGCTTATTATGCTGTTGCGAACATTTCAATTAATTTAAAGTTAAAAAATGTTTTTGTCAGTTTTCAGATGCGAACGCTACAATTTGAACATCCATGGCTCATGACAACATTAAAAGGCCACGTAAGCGATGTCATGGATTTGGATTTTTCTTCAAACGGCAGATATCTTGCATCAGTTAGCTCAGATCGCTCACTTTATCTCTGGAATGTTAAGGCAAGCATTACTTAGCGTTTTGGTTTGTACTGTTTGGTTATGTATCTTCAAGCAATAATATTAAGTAAATAATTGATAATTATTTGTAGCAATGAAGGATAGATAAATATGTTCAATGCTGTCTTACAAGTTCAAAAGAAAAATTTTTGACATAAGTTGTGAATTTAAGGTTTATTGAAAGTTCGATGGAAGTAATAGAATATATTTTTATAAACAAATTTCATTTTGAAACAGTTGAAAAAATGCATTAATAGGAAGGAAATATAAATTGGTGGCAATAATTCGAAATACTTATTTTAGAAACTCCTCAATTAGTGTGTATTTGAGATGTTACTCAATTTTTTAGAAATTTTGAACTAAACAGGTCAATTTATATCTTTTAGGATTTTGGTGAGCGTGATCATAAATTGCATCGCTGTGGTGTTGAGTTGGACGGTGCAAGTCATATCGTCTTTGCACCTGATTCAAAATGTTTACTTATGAGTCTACAAATTGCTAATAAGGTTTGCAATTTGTTCTTCAGATAGTGACAAAAACATCTAATTGTTTGAATTAATCACCACAGCTTGAATTTTTCAGTTGGATGTTTACAAAATAACAAAGAGGGAAGGTACTCAGAGTTATAAGATTTCGCGTATTGAAAGTGTTGGATTCCCGGTTGTCCATACCGAAGATATCAGTAACATCGGAATTGCTTGTAATGGTAAACTTGTGAATATGTTATAGTTTTAATTTAACATATGCAAAAATAGATATATTAAAGCATGAGGTTATGCAAATAATATGAACAATTGACATATATTATTGTGAAGAAAATAAATGAATACTTGGTACAAGTAATATAAACTGACACTAAACGGATACATCCAATGTAAGTATAAATGTTGGTAAAGGAAGTAACTTTAAGTTTTAATTACAAGTGAAAACTGAGTATCGGCGATGAAGGTGTATTTATCAGAGATAAGTGTTGACAGGTATATATATATATATATATATACGTAATCGGAATTTTAGTTTCATGACAAACTGATTATTGATCATCATAAATTTTTTACAGGAAAATTTGTGATGTCAGCATCAGCCGATAATCAGCTTGTGATATATAGCATTCACGGAGAAGTTCTCAAAAAGATTGAACTAAAATTGAACATTCTCTACAGTGCATGTATTTCGCCGTGTGCTCGTTTTGTTGGAGCTAGTGGTTTCACACCCGATGTCTTTGTTTTTGAAGTTTGTTGTTTTTAATTTTTTTAATTTAATTTTCTTTTTGATTTAGAAATAGAGAGTACTCAAGATTGTAAGTTCTACATTTCAAGATTTCTTCAGGTATTATTTGATCGTCAAGGAAACTTCCAGGATGTGAAGAAAGCTTTTGAACTAAAAGTACGAATTTAATTTTGTATTTTGTATTACTGTAGATTACAAGAAGTACAATGTTTTCACTACTTGTCATGCAGACTACTTCAGATTCTCGACAAAAAGTGTTTTAGATTGGAAACGTTTTATATTAGAACTCCACAATGTATAGTAATGGAAAATAGGATTTACATTCAAAATGTTCTATTTTTAATCTTAATCATAAACGGTAATAACTAGAGACAAGTTATTCTTATTTATTGGGCAATAGGGAATATCATTTAGTAATTCTAAATACAAATGCTTTGAATATGTTTGTAGGGTCATAATTCTGGTATTTACTCATTTGCTTTCGATCAGAGTTCAACACGGTGTGTTACAGCATCTAAGGATGGAACATGGAATGTCTACAATACTGACGTGCGTTATTCACAAGGGGAAGAAGCTAAGATTATTGCCAGGTTTACCGAAAATTTCCATATAATTTTGCAAATTTTTACTAATTATAACTGAAATAAATCTAATATTTTGCAGTGGTGAATTTGAAGTGCTGAAGAATGCTCCTCCTGAATCAGTCAAAGTAGTCATGAGTTCATCTGGAAATAGTTTTGCTATATCAGCTAGTCGTCATATACGTTTGTACAGCACTTTACAACCTCAGAAAGAATTTAAAATGAGTATATTTTTATGGTATATGTAATATTTTAATTCGAAATACTTACTCTGCATGATTTAGTAATATTTTATCTATCTTATCAATCTGCCAGCGAATCATTTTTTTAATATTCTTGAGAATATTTTATTGGATGAGTTAAGGATTTAATAAAATTAAATAATATAGAAATAAAGAATAATATCATAGAGTCTGATATATTAATAATCAGAGTGGGATAAATAGTATAATATAACAAGTTTCAATTTGATATTATTTTGTAGTAGCTTATATTTTCATTTCTTAAATCATTCTGTTTAGTTCTGGATGCACACGATAAGCCGATAACTGGCCTACGGATGAGTTCATGCGGGAAAATGATAGCAAGTTGCTGTGATCGATATATTAGGATATTTCATAATGTCGCAGAATTTTATAGTAATGTAGTATTGCTAGAAAAAACAATACAAGAAACTTGTGAAGATGGCAGGAAACGACGTCTTGAGGAGCAGTTGCGTGAAGCCAAGCGAGTACTTAATCCTTTTTCGTTTTATTAAAGAGATAAAATGAATCTTGGCTTTTTATCACAATAAGATGGAACTGTAGAATCTTTTTTATCCTTCATGGTGAGTCGCAACAAATTTTATGAGATCATATCTAATCAAAAGTAATCATATATGGTAATCATATACTTGCAAAAAATTTTATCTATTTAGCCATAGTATATTTAGAGTTGCTAGTTGCTGCAATTGAAATTTATATTTAACCATAATTTTATTACATTTCGATGACTTTACTTGGCACCAATATATTATTATAATCTCGTGATATGCTTCTGGGTTTGATTCCAAGCCTTAAATTCTTGTCCTATCTAATAAGTTATAATAATTGAGGATGTTATGAGTGAACTGTGCACTACTGCCTTCTTTTCATTTAGTAATGAAACATTTCTAACGAAATTCAAAGCTCTCTTTGCTGAAAATAGTCAAAACGGTAGATCTTTTACTTAGTAGCTGGATAAAAAAACTTCGTTCACAGAAAAATGCTATAACGATCATTTCTTGTGGAATTAAACCAAATTAATATGATTAAGCTGATCTGAGATTTTTTTGTTGTTTTACAACTTAAATTTATATATTATCATTGTTTTTTAGACTCATATTTTTACTGTTGGATTTGAAGTTCTTTTTGAAAAAATAAAATGCCGGTAATCAAATCAATCTAACTTATTTTAGATTAATTATAGAGAATTTTTTGTCTTTCAGTGAAATGTGCTATAGATCAGTATTTCAAATAGAATCTTTTTCACTGGTTTTGTGCAACTTATTTATTTCTATTTCATTTACTTAATGTTAAATCGTTGTACCTTTTACCAATATTGTGTAACCTTTGATGTTACAGTTTTCTTAAGTTAAAGTTGTCTCTGTTGATTTCTTTTGATTTCCTTTATTTCTGTTGTGTTCAATTGTTACTGTGGTATATCTGTTCGTTCATTTTGCGTTTATGTTATTAAAATTATTGTTTCTGAATTTGATTCATACGAAAAAAAACTAAAGCGAACAAAAACCTTTTTATAAAAAGAAACCAATTTTTGCTGTGCTACATTCCAAATGATTGGTTCATTAACTTTCTGTTTTTTTTTTCATATTTTTGCTGTAATTATCCATTTTGATGCTATAATATGTGAAAAAAATAGAAGATTGATATGAGCATTAGTTAAATATTGTGATTTTTTCCTTAGTCTTTTTTGTCAGATTAAATTAGGCCTTCAGTTAGAATTCGATTTGATTAAGCTAACTGTCAACTTGCTTCGGATTTTGTGTTGTTTCGTATTTAATTGTAAATTAAAATTGCTTCTGATAATAAATATTAAATAAGAAGTTCCGCAATTTCCGATATGATGATTATTCGCATGAGTTAGCCGGATCGGTTCTTGTACCCTTTGCCGTTATTTTTACTGTAAATGAACTGTGTATCGTCCTGTGATGTGACATTTCTTGGAGAGAATCCTACAATGTCAGCCATTATTTGATTTGCTTTTAATTTATCTTTTAATCTAAAAGCCATCTTCATTTCTAGAAATTTGCATAAATTGTTGCTAAAAGAATACAATAGAACATAGACAATTCATATTAAATTTGAAAATAAAATTTGAATTGAATGATTAACAGGAAAAGATAAAAAAAACTGAAATTTAAAGGAAGCATTATTAATAACATTACTTATATAATAAATGAATCCATTTTGTTTTAAATTAAGTTGGATAATCAATATCCTACAAAATAACAATGAATTTCCTCAAGAAATGAAGATTTCAAGCGTGAAATATCAACCTTTCAGGCTTTCTTCGATTGAAAAAAGCAAAGGCATATCAAAATGTCAGTTGTTAATCTCGCATGAAAATATTAAAATAGCTGAGGATTTTCAATGTATTAATTCATTTTTTAAAACTATTCTTCCACTAATTTAATGGCATGCAAAAGTGAATTCTTCCTCAAATAGAGGGAATGTGAAAAAGAAATAGAAAATTCTACAAATCAGAAATGTCAAATTTTAGAAGAATGCACATTTATTATCGGCTTATAACAAAGATTATATTTTGAAGAGGAAAAAGATTAAATTGAACGACGAATTAATAATACTTAAATGAGTCAGAAATGTTTGCAAATTAATAGCAATTGAAATATTTACTAATAAAGCAAAGACTAATCGAAATCTCTTTGCACTAACCTTTGACCATGCGATAACTAATAGACCACAGATCATGATTTTGTTAGGGATTGGAAAATTCAATTAAATTTGAATTTGATTGCAAAACTTTCTTATGTCATTCACCCACAATCACAATAAAAAGGTGAAATTGTCAAAATTGTAAATTAAAAATTATGATCAGTTATAACATTCAATTAAAATTTAAGCTATTGTCGAAATTAGTGAAAACTACAGTTTGTTAATTTAGTCAAATTTTAGGTTCTGCTGTTTTAATTTTAATTCAAAATTTCAATTAGCTCAGGTACTCTTAAACATAGAGAAGTATTGCAATCCAAATTAAAAAAAAGAAATGTTAAAGCAACAATTTATAACATCAAAGTTTTGTAGTCATTTCTTTGCACATCAAAAAACACACGAAATTTTTTAATATAGTTAAATTAGTCTCATGTATCACTTCTTCAGACATCTGTTTTTCCAATTGTTCAAATGCACTGACTTGGATTAATCGATATATGTGACATTTAATTGAATGCATAATTAAAAAAAAAATATATGGATCATAGTTGCATTATCATAAAAAGACATAATTATGATAATTGTCACATAATTTCAAGAAAAAGACATAATTGTCAGGTAATTTCAAATTTTAAATATTACATTAAAGCCTCAATATGGCATCTTTAAAATGAGTAAAATTTCTTTCTAAGGGATAAAAATGAATTGCTTTTATTGAATATGAATGCTTTCATTATTAAAAATTTTGCGTGTAGCATTGATGGAAGATGCTATTGCACTAAATTATTGCAGTAGATTTCAGTTTAGTAGTTTTCAAGTTATTTCAAATTATAGATTATGAATATACTGCAGTGAATTGGCAACAATTTCACTGTAACGCATTTAGATTTGAGATCATTTATAGCAGAAAATAAGTGAAAAAGCAATACATTATTGAATAGGGAGAAAGGAAAAAGAATGGATGAATAAAATTTAAATTTTTAAAAGTTTTTGAATTAAAAAAATAACAACTGTATACAAATGAAAAATTAAATTATTTATTTATTTATTCATTTTTGTTTTAATGATAGCTTTTTTTAAGCAGTAATTATGAATTTGTTGTAATTTGACAAAGTATGACAAAAAAAAAATTATTTGCGAGAATTGAAAAAATTTAATGCAAATTAAAAATAAGCAGTAAAAGATTCAGCTATATATTATTTATTAATTTATGCTTGTAATTATTGTAACAGAATCTAATGATCGTATAAAAATTGCTATATTTGTTCAACAAATGAAATTATTATCATATTTTTTTGGTTCGATTAAAGACTAATCGATTATTATAATAATTGAAAACAAAAATAAACATTGATATATGATGAACGACATGTTATTTTGATTTTTCATCGGTTTTTTTTTTATTTTCATTTTCTAATTTGTTTTTCGAAAATTTAGTCATTATCGATAACATGCCAACTGTAGCATTAGCCATTTTTAGCCGTCTCATATTAACAGGTAAAAAAGCTTTCATTGCTATTTTATTGACGTAAATATTTAAGGAAGTGCATATCCCACAAACATATATGTTTTGAACATATTGTTTCACTGCTGGCTTGCTAAATCCAGCAAAAGGACGGAAATCATCAAACATCGGTGATGTGGCAGCTTCCCAACCTGAACCCAACGTATTCCAATACCTGAAAATATTGAAACAATTATCACAAACGAACAGAAATATTCAATCTATTTTGTACAGTTTTTAATAAAATTTGCTATTTTTAATTTTAAAAATTACCAAAGACGAATTTGTCCCTGATTGGATGTTAGCTGTCCAGCTGCTATCTGTTTCCAATCATACCAATTAGTATAAATACCTATTATAAGACCATGTCTCTGTAATGTTAATTTCATATTAAAATGCTTACTTTATTTTTATAATCTAACAAATGAATGAAAATTTACAATCAATTAGTTTGGAATGTCTGTTTTTAGCAATTTCTAAATGATCAGAAATCAAAAAAAAAAACAACTAATGTTCTCATTTAAGAAACGAAAAAAAAAAAGCAATCAAAGTAATTATATTACTCACCCATGCACACATAATAAAATCATTGATAAAATTAACATTAACAACTTGATTATTAGGCCAAATGATTGGTGTCGTTAGCTAAAACTAGCAAAGTTTAATTATTTCAGAAACAAAATTAATCGAAATTGATCAAAATTAATACACTGAAATTCATTAGTTCAATTATCAATCTCTCCATTTTTATTTAAATTCTTTACTTTTATTTTTTTTTTTTTTTGCAAATTAATAATAAAATTAAATGATCCAAAAGTTTTACTTTGATCCAAATAGCTTTCACTGCAATATTATTGTTTGTTAGGAAATTGTATACTTCCATAAATTGTTCAGTCCCGGATTTTGTAGCACGAGGTTGTGGTTCTACATAAATTTCAACACCTAATCCTTCTATAATATAACAACATATATTTGAATGGAACAAAAAAAAAAAGGTGATTAACACATTTGATTAATTCGTTTGATAAGCTAATCAAAACATTCAAGCATCTTTATCAAAAATTTAACCATTAACAGCATTGTAGATATTAGCAATACAATTGCTGTCCGCACCGCCATTTCCGTTTGCCTGATAGGCTCGAATAAATGCAACCGTGAAACCTTTTTGAAACAAACAACGGAAAATATTTTGATCAGTTTGAGTGGATATATCGATTGCTTGACTATAACCATTTCCTGGTGTTTCTAATTCTGAATTAGCAATTATCTAAAATTGATTAATTTAAGAAAGAAAATGTTGAAACTGAATTATTTTTTAAAAAAAATTTTTTTAGTGCAATTTGCAAAACAGAATCATTTCAAGTTTTGTTTAGGAGAAGAGAATTTAGTAAAAAATTTAAATTCAGTTTTATTCATCAAAAAACTTCGCATCAGCTAAGTTAAAAGAATTTACTTCTCAATAATTACTATGCATTTTTTTAAATCAAAATTTCCTGTTCAGTTTGTTAAATCAATATGCACACATCTTGAAATAACTATTTATGAATCCTTTTAAGTTTGAAAAAGTTTGAAATTTGAGAAAATGATGAATTATGAGAAGGTCACAGCGCGACTAATAGAAGAAGCATAAAAATTTTCAAATTTTAACAGAATCGAAGCTTTATACAAAGATGACAACAATAACAGTTTGTTTGAGAGCAAATGTTAGGAATAAATATAAATAGTTATATTTACCTTAAACATACTTGTTGTCAAAGTATTAGAGGTCACTGATTGCAGTAACAGTAATGCAAAAGAAAAAATGATGATTTTTTCCATTTTTTTTAATTTTAACTTTAGTTGCAAACAGTAATTTCTAATTAAGACGCTTGAAATTGTAGTGGAATTATGAAAAAAGAATAACTGCCGAGCATTTTATGCGGTACTGACAAATACTGATAAGACTTTGATAACGTATGCAACGACATATTAACTGGTAAAGCATTCTATCTTGAAGTTATCATTCCTTCAAAAGAAGAAAAAAGATAAGAAAGGTAGAAAGTGTGTAAGATATGTGAGAAAATCTGAATCATTTGCCAACACACTATTAAAAATATATTAAGATCAAAGTTCAGGATCAACAATGGTAAAACAATAATCAGGAAAAAAATTCCTACAATGATTCGGATATTCATTTTAACATCAGTTGTCATCAAACTTATTGATTTTCATATCCTTCTAAACCTAAAAATAAAACAAGTTACAACAACTTCCTTTTGTATTATTGTACAATCACCTATCACATTTTTAAAATGTCCAATAAAATAGAAATAATTTTTATGTCCATTTTAATTTCACTTATAAATTCTACTTTGTAACATTTCCAAAATTTTAAATGAGTAGAATGAATAACAATAAGAAGCGATACAATACCTTTCATATTAATTTCTCATAATTTCCTCTTATGGAGAGGATCTGATTACTTATTATCATTTAAATTTATACCAAAAAAATTTTAATGCAATTAGAATTGAAAATAGTTTTTGGCAATGAGATTTTTTTGAAAATTATTTTAAAATTTACAAAGTTTGAAATTATTTATAAATCAATTTA